TGTCTGCTCTAGAAGTGTGAACTTCTAAAAGAACAGACCCACATATTATTATTTGATGAAAAATAAAGGTCATAATAAGTGAACACAGTAAGCACTAAAATATTCACTGAATAGTGTGATTTTGTTGTAGGTATACATATAAATATCTAAGTAGTTGCAAACACAAAGGTATGACCTTACTCATACCTTCCTCAACTATTCCTGACACAGTAACTATAAGGACCAAGGCATTTAAGTGCTCTGCAAAGCTAAAATAGATGCCATCATCCATATCCTGAAGCTTTTTTACCCCCCCCAAAAAAAACTGACCAAGAGAAGATAATTTCAAATCTAGCATCTGTTCCTACTATTTAAAAAACACAAATCTTTGAAAGTGTTATATCATATTTGCTTTTACATTACATATATTTTTAACAACCTTGGTTACATAATTTCTTAGCCCAGTGCAGATTAGACCAAAAAAAATTAGATAGAGGGTGGTGACAACCTGACAGATTCAAAACACATTATAAGAAGAAAAAAATGTGAAGTGAAGGCTCACAGTGATGGAGAAAGAAGAACAAGAAAAAGGGTTCCATACGTTTAGTTCAGCATCATTTAATGTAGGAGAAATGACTCCACTGTACTCTGATAGACTTAATGGATTGCAGGGAAAATTGATATAGCTTATTTTTATTATACTCATTTTGTGTGTATTAGTCAGACTTTTCATTGCTGTGACAAAATACCTGACCGAAAACAACTTAAAGGGGGAAAAATTTATTGTAGTTCATGGTTTCAGAGGTTTCAATCCATAGGGCCTGTGTTGAAGACCCAGAGACCTACTTCCTTCAATCTCCTCACCTCCCCATCTCATAACAGAACCTCCCAAAGTAGCATCACCAGCTGGGGACCAAGCATTCAACACATGAGCCTGTGAGGGACATTTCACAGTCAAACTATAACACTGAGTCATGATGCAAGTCCTGTTATATTAAAAATATTGTTCTTTTTATTTCATTGTTCAGTTGACATTTATGGAGACGGATTTATGTACCGGGTCAAGTACAAGGTGATGAGGATACAAAGATAAGAACAAGATAGCACTGGGTTTTGAAAACTCTATCATTGGTATGCACAAACAAATATAAAAATATATTTAATTGTATGAAAGGAGCAAAATATACAATGCTACAAATAGATACATAGGGCTACAAGTGTGATCAGAGAGCTAGATATAATAATTTGGAGAGTAATTTCTGCCCAAATTTCAATCATTTAGAAAAGCTATTGTGTAAGATGCTGCTTTCCAAGGTATGCCAGATAGAAATGGCAACATTAGTGTTAGTGATGCAAACAAAGCTTGTGGAATAAATCATTCCATTGCTTTAGTGCGTCAGTGTAGACAGAGGCACTCAGTACGAAAATGACATTCCTAAAAGCAGCTTATAATTTACACACATGACTGTATAGAAAGATCTGGACATAATGGGTCCTTCAGAACATTAACTGAATGAGGAGACAATTTTTTCTTCTGGCATGTTCTCAGTATCCTTAACACTACTACATATGGTAATAAGTCATGCATATTAAATCTTCCAGCATTTGGTAATTTAAATATCCTACATATATATTGTTAGTCTTCTCAAGCAAAATTTTAAACTCCACAGGACAAGAAACTGTTTCTTCCAGGGTTTTCCTGTCTCCCATATCACCTACCATATAGCTAAAGTACAAAGTAGTTACCCAGCAATTATGTGCATTGGATCTAATAAGGAGATTAAATATTGCTAGCGCAGTAAGTGACATTGTGTAATTTTTAAAACCAAAGCTGTTTTCCAATGGAGAAGATTACCTTCAATGTTTTCAAATATCATATTAGGTAGCTTCTCCTTAGAGCAGAAGATTGCAAACATATCCTGTCTACCTTTCAAGCCACAGTGATGATTTATTTATTCCTTATTCCTATTGATTATTACTCAGAGGATTCGGAAGTGGATGCAAATGCCAGGAGATTTTCATTTCTTGTTACTGTTAATGTGAATTGTATATATACAGGTGAAGGTTATACCTGGTCCCCAGGGTGGAAGTCTTAAAATATGTCTAATTGTTGGGAACCTTTTATAGTGCAAAGAAAAGGTTTGTGCTCCCAGTGAAACAATCACCCTCTGTGTCACACAAGATTCACAATCCGCCTGTGGATCCAGATTGTGACTAATATTTGCTGCTAATATTATAGGTGGAGGGAATCAGTAGGAGCATAACTGTCATTTCCTCGGAAAAATTTAATCCACAGATGGATCCCAACACCCAACTGCAATGATGTCCAAAATTCTAATGGGGAATTTTACTAAATAGGCCTGACTCAGCCAAAAAAAGATAGACTGACTAGAAAAATCTGTATCGCACATCACTCCAAAAAAGCATATTTACCCAAGCCCTAATGCTTTGGCACACAAGAATTATCCTAAAAGGGACAGGGAGAAAAGCCATGTATTAATTAAAATGCACTTATATATTTTTCATTTTAAAAATGCAGTAATGGAGCTATGCAATGCTACCATACACTTATAAAGTTTTAGTTACAAAATTCAATCTTTACACTATTTAGCTAAAAAAGGTAAATATTCTATACAGAGAAGCTGCTTATTCAAAGCATTAGCTTTTCTCAAATGTTCTCCTTTAAGCTAGAAGACTTGCTGTGCATCATTTGGTCCATAGAGATGAGTGTTAAGGTGGTGCTGATGGTCGATGAGAAAGACTGAGATACTTTTATTATTAAGGCCCCTTCTAGCTGCATATAGATAGCCATACATAATCTTAGAACGTTATGTTTATTTCTTTAATGATTTTAGTATCATACGAAGCTGTTTTGGCCTGTGCTAGATTCATTTTACTTACAGTAGACTATTAAAACAATTTCCACCCAAGTTTCAGAAAAATGCTGTTCTTTTCTGGGTGACTGATTCTCAAATGGACTTCATTACCTGAAAAAAAAAAAGTGTTTCCTCTCTTAATTGATATGGTTTGGGAAATTCTTAACTGTCTACAGATGCAACTGATCAAATCATAACACAGAAGAGAAAATACAGAAAGGATTAATTTCCTTTTTTCCATTCGGCCTTAAGGATTAATTTCATTTCCAGTCTGTCTTTTTTTTTTTTTTTTTTTAGAAGAAATCCAAAAGAAAGAACATTCTGAAGAAGCCTATTAAAGTGGAGTGAACCATAAACTCATTCTCTATTCTTTGGCTAATACAGAGTTAATTTGTCTGTCTCCAGGTTCCTTTAGCTTTGGGCTACCGCCTGGGTTCTTATACATTCATTTTCTTTATAGATTTAATTCAAGCTGTTTATAAGTGATACATGACTTAAAAACTGTTCACGTAGCCCTCCCTTGTGTGAGACAGTATTCCCACGTACAAGACTTTATAAGGCAACAGGGTTAATAAAAGGGCTTGGTGTACTACATAATCCCAACAATGAATTGGAACAGCAAAGGCCATTTGGCTATCTAAACAGTCACAGCGCGTTCATGACCTATTCCCACCCTGTTAATTTAAGTGTCTTTATCAGTGCTAGGAAAAGAGGCACACACTTGGAAAGGAAGGATTAAGGACAGGTCTGAAGACCTAAGCATATTTCACTAGCACCTCCTAGGGGCCACGTGAGGATATGCGACTCGGAGGTGGGTACCCGCGCAGAAATAACCCTCTCTTGCATAGTCAGTTTCACCTCCTCCTACACGGGGAAAACCCACCCTGGCTGTACTTCCAGAATCCGAGCTACTTTGTTGGAGTTTGGTGACTTAATAAATAAATTGCACGAGAGACGCATGTACTGCCTGGAGCAAATAAACATTAAAAAAAAAAAAGAAGAAAAAAAAAAAAACCACCCAGGGATTGCAAACTCAGCGTGGAAGAAAAAAGACTCCTAAATACAGCGAATCCTTTAAGAGCAAAACTTCGTTACCGGACCAAAGCAGTCAGAGATATTATGCTTTCCACACGCGCACAGGATTGATTTATACAGCTTGCAGGATCCAGACCCGGGTCTCACTGAGGCTGGCTTTTTAAAGGGTCTGCATACTCTTTCTGGTTGCTGGGAACCAGGGCTGGGAGGCGCTGGTGCGAGGGCAGAGCAGAGTGTAGGAGTTGCTGTTCCATAGAATTCATTACTCCCTAATTGTTCTGATTTTAGATCAGCACAGCGTGCCAGGCGGTGGTGGAGAAGGAGCTTGAGGGCGGACAAGGCGCGAGAGATGAGTGCTTCACCCTCCGGAGAAGTCTGGGTTCTTTGTCAGTAAGTCCCCAACCGTCGGGAGAAGAGAGAGGCAAACAGACAAGCACGCACTGGCTGCACTGAGCGCGTCTGGATCTTGCCGGGTTCTGCGCGCCGATCCCGGTGCCTGTCGCTATTTGATTGACAGACAGCTGCTCCGTGCGCTGCAGATTAGGTTGAGGGGAGGGGGCTCTGGGGTCAGGGGGCTCTGGGTGGGAGATTAGGGGACAGGGATACTCGCCTAGGCAGAACATGCAGTCCTTCCCTGCCACCAACATCTCGCCTTGGCACTGGCACCTCTCTGGCACTAGGAAGAGCAGGCAATGCACAGCTGCCACCCTGGAGAGAAACCGGGACGTGCAGGGCTCAAAGAAGGGTCGGAAGCTTTGCTCAAAGCCAGGCTGCAATTAGGCAGCCGCAAAAGCCCGGTCGCGAAGCTTCCCACCTGCTGCTGCTGTCCCAGCTGGGCCGCGACTTCCTCTTCCCCAGCCCTGGCCCGAGACTCCACGACCCAGATCGGAGGGGGGAGGGGGGAGGAAGCGGCCGCAGGTTCCCCGCGCTGGCAGCGCCTGGGGTGGCGGGTGTAGCGCCCTCCCCTCCCCGCCGCTGTTCCCGGGGCCGGCCGCGCAGCCAGGCACTCTGCGATTGGCTGGCTGCCGCCAGGGGGGCGGAGCCACAAGGGCCGGTATCACATGCACCGCCTCAAAAGAGCCCAGGATATCGCAGAGTGCACTGGAGCCCTGGCCAGCCTGCAGCCCTGCCCGGCGCCGGCAAAGCTGGGTCTTGGGGATTCTCATTCGCTTCGGCTCACTCACTTTTACAAACCATTGGATCTTACATGCTTCTGTGTCCCCCACTTCCACTCCATGTCCCCATGCTCCTGTGCCAGCAACAGGTAAGGGCTGCTGAGTGTTTTTTTCCCTCCTTCTCTCTTGCTGTCTGTGTGTCCTGGGGAATGGACTCGGGCCACCGTCCCCTACCCTATCCTGCCCCGCTGTTCCAGAGGTGCCCAGCTGTCATACTGCTGGAAGCAATCCCCCACGCTTCAGAGTCCCAGCTCATGCCTATAGAGTTTGTGTGCTCTCCAGAACATCTTCAGAGCTAAAAATACTGAGACATGCTTGGAACAGTTGAGCAATAGAAACAGATTTCTCTGCAGCATCTGTTTGTGCTCATAACTTCCAATGCACCAGCTGTAGCGAGATACTGGGTTTAGAGGCAAGGGCGAGTCTGTGTTCGATTCTCCCTCTCAGGGGAGGAAAAAAAGGGAAAGCAAAATAAATAAATAAATAAATAAATAAATAAATAAGTGGTTGGGGAGTGAAGGTGCAGCTCCAGTTTTGTTCTTGTTCTCAGACCTTGACAAACCTTGGAACTTAGCACTTACTCTCGATTCTTGCTGTCTGTTTTTTTGGGTTTCCCACCCCCCTCTCTTTTTGTTTTTCTTTGTGGTCCTTGCTTCAAGTATAACTTCGAGTTCCAAACGGTGAACATCTCAAAGTTGACTTGCTGGGGAAAGAGAGCAGGATCCCGAGTTGGATTTGAGCCTGACAAACCACAAAACTTTCACATCATATATCACTCTGCTCTTAAGCACTCTGTTATTCTTAGTAATAATGGTATAAATGCCTCTCTTAAAGACAGGTTGGTTTTGGGGAAGCAAAGCTCAAAACGACATGATTCTGCAAAATGATTGCATCATAACACCGATTCATCATGACAATTGAAAAAAATAGAGATAGGAAGAAGGTAGTTCAATGTCTGTCTGGGCAAGTCTATCAGTAGCAGTAGTATGATCTCTAGGATGAGACTCTGGATTCTGGAGATTTCCATAAACTCAGAATGTACCTGTTAGGAAATAAGTTGTCTGAAACCTGTTCTGGACGTGCAATAAATGCATATTGTCTTTTACCTTGTTTTGTCTTCACATTCATCAGTATGCTGTCAAATTTCCTCTCACTAATCACAGCTGTGCATAACCTTTACACTTGGTAACTTCTCCCTGCTCACTTCCAAGTGGTTTATTTATTTGTATTTGTCATGATTCAGAAAAATCTTGAATCTCAGAAGGAAAGAGATGTTACTTCACGTATGATGGGAGGGGTGAGAGTTGGGGGTCAAGGTCATGTCACTGCGTTCTTCCCCTCTCCCTCATATTTTGGTAGCATTTTTTTATGGTATGGTATCCATAAGAAATGTGTTTTACACCTTTGGGAATTTGCATTTTTAAGAACACAGTCTTTCTACATCCTTCAGACTCTCTAGCTGAAGAGTCCTTGTATGACTTTTGAGTAACATGAAAGATTGACCACATCTTTACCTGAACAGTTTGACCACTTTAAAATTTTAAAGTATGTATTTTCGTTTTTCAAATGTGTGTCTTTCAAACATATGCAAATGCTGAACAGTACTACATGCATTGTTGAGCATAATGTTAGAGACAGTGCTCATGTAGATAAATGGGTGTCCCCCCTCCCCTTCCCACTTTCCCCTCCTCCTTTCTGTTTACTGAGGTTCATAGAGGTTGCTTTGAGAGCAGTTGGGCTCACGTAGCAACTTGTGTCCAGGGCACACTCAGGCTGCTGAGTATGGCGTCAGCAGGGGACTAGAATAGCTGCTCTAAACACTCATTAGCAGACCTCTCTCATCCAGCACATTCTCTTTCGCTACGTCCCATCTTTAGTCAGAAACTTTCGTCTTTGTTGCACGTGATGACCATATATATTATGGAATATAGTTATCCTAATTTACTCCTCCTGATTACCTTTTTCTAGTTTTTATATGTCCTAGTGGAAATAATTCCTATATATTAAAAATGACTTAGATTCCCCCATTTTTATCATGTGATCTCCTTGACCTTGTACTTATCCATAGTTCTCTCTCCTTTCTTATCTACCTAAGATTGAAGCGCTGAACTATTTTTTCCATTGCTTATGCTTAATTTTGGCTCAGCCTATAAATAGTCTTAATATGAACAGTACCACATGCAGCCTCTCAATTTCCCAGAAATACTTTCTATATCATTGGTTGTAGCCTGGGTAAAATGAGTATTTGTATCCATTGACTTTACCGACAGCTTCTTAATTATTTGGGCTGAAGGGGGGATTTACAGATTGTTCACCAAACCAACTGTCATTCTCTAGAGCTGTAGCCGTCAAGAAGTCAGACCGTTTAGTGTTCTCATGTATTGCTGATTTATTGTTCCTCAGAACACTATTCAGAATGAAGTTGCAAGAAAGCCTGATTTTTTTTTTTGTAATGAAAGCTTTTCCCAGATGCTCATGAATTGGTGATTTCCAACGAGAGAAGAGTAGGCAAGGAAATTTTTTGCTTGCCCAAAACCACTCAGACATGTGAGCACTTTAACAGTAAAGGCAGTCTCTGTGGTGAATTTAGAAGGTTCTAGACATTTGCTATGTAACAGCTCAACAGTCTGAATACACGTAATGTGGGTGCACACATAGACACACATAAATGTGTTTGGGGACATATCTATTTGAAATGACAAAAGTTTCCATTTTGTCAAAAGTAACATTGACAACAACAACAGCAAACCTTTTTCCCTTTCCAGGAAGAAAGGGTAAAATTACTAAATGATGCCTACATGTGGAACGAATTCTGTCATTAGCCATGGAAATAAGACAATAATAGTCACTCAATACAGGCTATTTTCAATGTCCTAAATGGGGAAGGCTATTCATAGGAAGTTGGTATTGTGTGATTTGTGGAATTCAAACATATGTCCTGGGATCAAGATTTTTGGAAAGTCATAATTCAGCCTTTAGATTTTATACGGTTGTTATGTTTTAATCTGGAAGGAGTGCAGAAATAAGTCAGAAAGAAATTTGAGACTGTCTACTCATGGCCTCTAAGAGTAACTCAGACGGAAGGATTGTTTTGAATCATGAAAAGGGAATTTCTTGGTGTCAGCTTATAATAAAATATTCTAATGTCAATCAGAATCCAAAGATAAAAGCACTTCTTAAATGAGGCTCTTTTCCCCTTTATTGGAAAAGTACACCTGCATTTGGCATTATGCTGCTATCTCTGTCTTTGTGTAAAAATGCTTGACAATTTCATGTGAGCCAAATAAGCTGAAATCACTGTTTAAAAAGAAAAAAAATCATTCCATGTTCAGGGTCTAGAACCCTAAGGAATATGATGCTTTTTTCTTTTGTCCAAGTCCAAACTTCATAGGGAAGCAGACAAAACATTGAAGCAGGTGGAAGGTTGGGAAGGCACAGTACCTTTTTTTATAAAGTAATTCAAAGGCACTTTCAAATGGGGCATCATTTAGGTGTCAAAAGCTGCCAAAATGTAACACACATTGCAATTTTCACAGATGACTAATCTCAGGAAAAATGTGTTGGGGCACATTCTTGCATAATAACTTGGATGTAGAGAGAGAGAAAAGACTGACTGTAACAAGGCGTTTTCAAACACAATGCACCTTGCCTGTTTTTTAAAGGGATGCAAAAGACCAGGGTGAATGGTTTGCTTTATTTGTTTGCAGCTGGCTTGGCGGAAAGTGGTTCTGTTAACTGCTTAATCTTAATGTGGCTTTGGGAGAGAAAGTAAAAGTGGTGTCCTCCTTATTAGTAGTTCAACAAATTTCTAATCTTTTCCATGTGTTACTCATTGACCCCTTAAATACTGGAGATGGATTTGGGGATCACTTTTATTTTTTAGATGTAGGGATCTGTTCTCTTTGTTAATACACATTTGATAAAGAAAACACCTTAGGCTTTTTCTTAGGCTTTTGTTAGTCAAGAGAAAAAAAAATGTTTTTAGAGCCAAGATGGAAAGTTAAGCCAAGTAGATAGTTTTCAACCTAAGGGAGAATGAGGCAAAGGAGAAGACTGAAAATTACTGTTTGTTCATGTTAAATGAAGATGAGTGCCTTCTCCATAGGAACCTATAGCAAACAGAAGTGAAAGTAACCTGACTGGCATTTATGAGCTGCTTTGATTACAAAGTTGTCTCTGTTTGAGAGAACACAGCATTGGACCCACATGAAACGAGTTCCTGCTTTATCTCAATTCACTAAAGACCTGGTCCTTTGGCTCAAAGGTGCTTACTTCCTAACTTGTCATTACACATGGCAATCCCATCTCTGGAGAATTTCAGGACTGGCATTGCTAGGCAACAGAATCACTCTCTATCCCCCTGAGCAAATCTGTGTCTTCAAGTCAGAATCACTTGCACTAACAGAGATGTTACCAGGCATATCTGCACTGTGGCTGCTTCAAGTGTGTAGAGTGATGGAGAGAGCCCAGACAGCATTCAGAAATTGGGATCCATTTCAGAGGATACCGAGGGCTGCCTGTTCAGTTTTATCACTAAGACAAATTTGTCTGTGCCCCTGATGTCAGCCTTGTCATCAGAGGCTTGGATATTCTCCCATAACGCACATGTAATTCAATTAATATCAAGACTGCATTCACATGAAATGTTTTCTAGATGTGTCCTAGTTCTAAAAGCTTGTGACAAGCCTTGAAAATCCGAAAGGCTTTCTTCTGTTTAATGACTTGAAAACCTGGCAAATAGGAAAGGCAAAAGTAGAGAATAAGAGCTGAGAGGTCGACCTAGGGAATAGAATATTCTAGATTGGTGACAAAAAGTAAAGGAAATGGGAACTGAAATTTTGATTGAATGACTGCCACAGATATCTCATCTATGTTCAATGATTTTAAGTAAAACTAACAATAAAACATTTTTAGGGGACAAAGAAATTTAAATTCCTGCAACTCAAAGCAAAATATTTTTATATATGATTCTTTGCTTTTGTTAAGATAGGTATGCTACCTTAGATAGTAGAATTCTGTTAAGAATGACTTCTTTCATAACAAACACTCTCTCTTTTCTTACAGGATAAGCTCTCTGGATGTCAGCTGAGTTACTGAGGTAACTTTGCATGTCAATAGTCAGACCTTGGTAGAACCCCAAGGCTCCTGGAGACACTCATCTCTCCTCATTTTTTTTTTTTTTTTTTTTTTTGTGTGTGTCCTCACTGAACATTCAAAACTGTTTCTCCAAAGGGTTTTGCAAAAACTCAGACTGTTTTCCAAAGCAGAGGCACTGGAGTCCAAGGCAGAAGCGATGGGCAGTGTGCGAACCAACCGGTATAGCATTGTTTCTTCGGAAGAAGACGGTATGAAGTTGGCTACCATGGCGGTTGCCAATGGCTTTGGGAATGGGAAGAGTAAAGTCCACACTCGGCAACAGTGCAGGAGCCGCTTTGTGAAGAAGGATGGCCACTGCAATGTACAGTTCATCAACGTGGGTGAGAAGGGACAGCGGTACCTCGCAGACATCTTTACCACATGTGTAGACATTCGCTGGCGGTGGATGCTGGTTATCTTCTGTCTGGCTTTTGTACTCTCCTGGCTCTTTTTTGGCTGTGTGTTTTGGTTGATAGCTCTGCTCCATGGGGATCTAGATGCATCAAAAGAGAGCAAAGCTTGTGTGTCCGAGGTCAACAGCTTTACAGCTGCCTTCCTCTTCTCCATTGAGACCCAGACAACCATAGGCTACGGCTTCAGGTGTGTCACGGACGAATGCCCGATCGCCGTTTTCATGGTGGTGTTTCAGTCGATCGTGGGCTGCATCATTGATGCCTTTATTATTGGTGCAGTCATGGCTAAGATGGCAAAGCCGAAGAAGAGAAATGAGACTCTTGTTTTCAGTCACAATGCTGTGATTGCCATGAGAGATGGGAAGCTATGTTTGATGTGGCGAGTGGGCAATCTTCGGAAAAGTCACTTGGTGGAGGCCCATGTTAGGGCACAGCTCCTCAAATCCAGAATCACGTCAGAAGGGGAGTATATCCCCCTGGATCAAATAGACATCAATGTTGGCTTTGACAGTGGAATTGACCGGATTTTCCTGGTGTCCCCCATCACTATCGTCCATGAAATAGATGAAGACAGCCCTTTATATGACTTGAGTAAACAGGACATTGACAATGCAGACTTTGAAATTGTGGTGATACTGGAAGGCATGGTGGAAGCCACCGCCATGACGACACAATGTCGGAGCTCTTATCTGGCCAATGAGATCCTTTGGGGCCACCGCTATGAGCCAGTGCTCTTTGAAGAGAAGCATTACTACAAAGTGGATTATTCGAGGTTCCACAAGACTTATGAGGTACCTAACACTCCCCTTTGTAGTGCCAGGGACTTAGCAGAAAAGAAATATATCCTCTCAAATGCTAATTCATTTTGCTATGAAAATGAAGTTGCCCTCACAAGCAAAGAGGAAGATGACAGTGAAAATGGAGTCCCAGAAAGCACAAGTACAGACTCACCCGGTGACATAGACCTTCATAACCAGGCAAGCGTACCTCTAGAGCCCAGGCCCTTACGGCGAGAATCGGAGATATGACTGACTGGTTCTTTCTTTGGAATATTTACTTCACTACACAATCTGTTGATCAGAGGCCTGAAACAGTTACAGAGACCAAGGTACTGGTCCAGAGGTGGGTCAAGGCAAGCGGCCACAAGGGACAAAGGCTAGCACAAGGGTTTCAAGGGAAGACCGTAAGCTCAATGATCAGTGTAAAGCACTAAACATGCCTCCGTGTGACCCAATGGCACATATATGATGTAGAATAAGTTATGGGTTTTTATGTATTGTTTTGTGTTTTTACAAAACTTGAATTTGCAGGCAAGCCTTGGTTGTGTATTTGACTTATCCAGAATGCTTCTCGGTAGGGGAACAAGAACGTTTTTAATGGCATAGCAAAGGCAAGACTCTGCCTTAATTTTTTAAAAAGCTGCTAACTACATGAACACAAACTGTATTTTTGTTGCAGTGTAGTTTTTCTTTTATGTAATTTAAAAGTCAGTGTTGAACTTTGTTGAAAGCTCACGATGCGTTTTAAAGTAGCAAGTATTTGGCTATTAACTGCCAAAATGAGAGCCTGATTTTCTGAGGCCAGTAATTTGTTTGCTAGAATTGATCTCTCTCTCTCTCTCTTTCTCTCTCTTTCAATCTCCCTCTGGTTGCATAAGGGCATTATGTAACACTAGCCAAATGGTAGCCTCTGGGTTTTCTTTTCTTTTTTTTCTCTCTTCCTAATGTTAATGGGTTATTTCAAATTTTCAGTTAGACTACCTAAAATAAATACCAAAGATAATGCACGTTTTTGCACAGTGGCGCTTATACTAAAAAGGAAACTAAGCCCCATGGGTTGCCTTGAAATCAAGAGACAGTGACTTTGAACCTCAGTAAGACCTTGAACCATTCATTCATTTTGCACCTTATTCAGAAAACAAAGCACCAAACACACAGAGTCTATTAAGTGTAGTGCTTTTTAAATTTTGGTCTTTCATGTACCCTGCTTATTTGAAGAGGAAAAGGAAGAGGAAAGGGGAAGTCCCATTCCCATATGCATACACATAATATCAACATTTTGACTTTCCTGATAGCTAGGGCTGGCAGGCTAATGCATTAAAGTAACAAATGGTGATAGGCTCCTCAATTTCTCTGGGCTTTCTCCGTTTTGCACATTCCAAAATTTATAAGATCTTGGTTGAACGTTGTTGGCCCCTTCTAAATGGAGCCATCCAGCATGAAAAGTAAATGAATTTGAAATGTTGCAGCTCAGTTTCATTGCCTCCACACTCAGGGCACTTCCGGTTTGACACCACCTTAGAAAAGTTATCTACCTGACCCCTAAGATTTTTTCTCTGGTCATTCTGGAGGGAGTCATGCTGTGTCAGGGGAGGAGAAATGCAAATGCCAAAGTGGGGGAACAGGGAGGTGTGGACAGGACCCTTTGATGCAGGATTTTAGCTTAAGTATTCAGGAGGCAGAGAAAATTTGTCTTTTTTATTGCAGAAGGTAGGAATGAGAATGGGTCAGAATTTTAGGGTCAAAGAGGGACATAAAAATATAACACAATCAAAAGTTAAGGAGACAAGTGTCTAAAAGTGTCATTCCCCTCTGTGTGTGCACTCTCATGGTTAATGTGAACTCATCATTGTCTCTTGTGGAGCAATAGAACAGGTTACTAAGGACACATTGTTTTCTAAAAGTCTTTCTTGCTGGCTGCCAGACTCCCCAGAAACAATCCTCTCCTCCCCAGCCCCTCACTCTAGCTGAGTGATGGAACTTTTTTGGGGGGTTTAAAGTTCTCTATTTGTGAATTCTTAGTTACTGACTTTTCAATTGGAGTCTCAAAATCAACTCTCTCATGGTATTATATCCTGGTATGCCATTAAAAAATAGCTTGTTCTAGAATCATGTATTTTTTAAACTGATGTTTGGGATGGACTGTGGTTCTTGGACAACCATATCTGAATGTAGTGCCTGCAACAATAGGACAGTTTCTGCTGTTTTCAGCCTTCCAAGTTGACGTGTTTAAAAACTGTGGTGTTATTTTCATTGAAATCAAGAAAGAGATGTTAAAGAATTTGATGCTTTATTGTAAATCTGAATTTAAAGGTGGTTTTAGGAAGTTGTTTAAAGCGATGGAGAAATTGGGGCAAGAAACTTACTGAAGAGACAAAAATTTGGCCCTTGACAGTGAGAGGGTATTGAGGGCTTCAGCTGCTGCTACAATGATGTTTTGTAAAGGAAAATAATCAAACCAAAGAGTATTCAGTGGTATGTAAATTAAATGAAGATGCAATGGAGAATTGGGGTGACCACAAAGCAGGTCCCCAAACACACAGTGCTACCACTTAAAAAGACCTGAGGTATCTGAAAGGGAGTGGGTGCAGGGCAAGAAAGAAGGAGGGAAATCTTTCAACTTATTTTTGAAAAAGAGAAAAAAAATCTAAAATTTCTGGTGCACAGGTTTGTTTGTTTTTTTTTTCAATAAAATTTTGCAGAAGCTATGTTTTTAAAGTGTACATTTTATAAAGTTTATCAGATATTTTCATATTTAAAGCCAAATGTAAATAGGAGTTTGTAAAGATAAAACAAGTGCTGTAGAAAGTATGATTTCAGTGCAGCAAATTTTGAGAGCTGGTACCTATATGCTACCGGTTAGCATGGTTTTAGCAAATATTTACCAGCCTTATAAGGTTCGTATTGCTATGTTCTTTTGTTATTTATTTCAGCATGGACTGTTCATTCAAAAGCTTTTTATAGTTATTAGCATTTTAATAGTTACAAGCTTTAAATGTTTTTGTTTGTTTTTGTCAAGAGCCAAGACACAGGTAATGCATGGCATTTATGGCTGCGTTTTACCTTCAAAATATTTGTCCTTATTGACTGGGTCTCCTTAACTAGTGCACACCTGTCACTAGAATGGGACAGAAGGGACTCACCGTGAATATCTGGGGTTGAATTCTCAGATGCGTGTTGCTTCTCTATGGCAAGCAAATCCCTATTGGATTTCTTTAGGATGTATTCCCTTTTAAAGAATGTTTGCCCATATCTGGAAGGGCATTGTATTTTTGGGGGGAGGCATAGATTCCTGGTTACTCTATTTTTAAATACAAGGTAGACAAAGTGAATTCTATTTTGGTTATTGAGAAAGGAATAGTTTTCTATCCCTCTAAGCGTATACTTGAATCAGACATTTAAAGGATGTCACTATAGCACTGTAGTCATTTTCAAATTCCTAGAGAAAGTTTGTTTGCATTTGTTTTGTTCTAGTAATTATTTCTTTCCTTTACTTCCTTTCTTCCCCATTCTCCCAACCAGATCTTGATGTGTATTGGATGAGCTCTGTCCCCCAAATCATGTTCCTCTTACAAACCATAAATGTCATCTGTGGTTTTATAATAAGTCACTCCATAAAGGTGAAAGGATTGTCTTGAAAAATAGAGTGAGTTCATTATCACTCTGTATTTAATAACGTTCGGTGGAAATAAGACAAAAGTGTTGCATAGTCACCTTCCCACTCACAACCTTCAGCAAACTAGAATTTCTTTTCTAGCAATGTCAGGTTGCAGCTCTGGACTCTGGAGAGTTGAACAATTCTGGCCTTTGACAATCGTGTTAGTTATTATTTTCCCATTTGCCATCTTTTTTTGTATCTAAAGTCTTCCTATTGTACTGCACAAACCATGGATTGTACATATTTTTATATATTATGTCTTATTTTATTATTTCTAAATAAAAATGAAAAATTGAAAATGAATTTGCGTAAGAATTATCAGATCTCTTGCATGATTACAATGTAAAGGCAGTGATATGGAACAAATGTTCTCAAACAATGGTACATAAACCTTGGTACTCTGGATGAATAGGGCTATAGAAACTTCCTGAACACACAGGTGCAGTGGAGTGGCAGATTAGTTTAATCCATGTTAGAGGAAGTCAAGCTCATATTTTGTTTTTGGACAGAATGGATTAAGTAAAGAGAGGATAGAAAAGACCAACCCCATTCCCCCAAAAAAACCTAGCAAATAAAACTAACAAAAAATAGTACAAGGCTTAGGTTTTGATTCTCTAATAACAATATTTACATTCTGTTGAGCTTCAACTATATATAGGTTCTACCTTGTATATCATTTATTTCATTCTTGCAAAAATACATAAGGATATTATTATTCTCTTATTAAGGAGACTGACTTCAAAAATGCATGTCTTAAAGCCCAGAGTATAGTATTTTTGGCTTTAGGGACTAGAGGGGTGTTTGGCTTAGGTAGGTAATACACCCTTGTAGTCTAATAGTAGCCACAGACAATAGGAAAACAAATAGACTATCTGTATTTGAACAAAATTTTACTTACAACAACATTCAGTGGGCCAGATCTGTCTTGTGACTTATCATTTGTCAACTCTTGTTAAAGATGAAGAAACTGAAAATGAGTTTTAAAGCTAATGAGTCACTAAATCTAACGAATTCAGGTATTATCTGCCTCTCAACCTACTCTACTCCACTAAACTGCATCTTATTTCAGGACCCAAAGTGACCAAGGATATGTGATCTCAGAGAAATTTCCATTTCCTCCAGTAAATCTGGAATAAAGTGTTTTCCAAAGTTGGGAAGACTAAGGAAATTTGTGTTCTGAAATATTTTGCAAATATTCACAGAACCATTTCAAACCTGGGTCTAAGTTCTCTATAAATAGTACACAATTTTATCTGACAGCAATATCGTGGCACTATCCCCATCTAAGAAATGAGGAAGGTAATGTACTATCAGGTGGCACCTGTCTAAGTGCTCACGGGTAATAGGTACTAGAGTAATAGCCCAAGGGTTGGAGGCATAGTTTAAGTGGTAAGGCACTTGTCTAGCAAGCAGGAGACTCTGAGTTCAAAACCCCAGTACTGCCAATAAACCTGGGCCCTACAATTCTGAGTCAGTCCTATAGCTGTATGCTGCATTCCCTAGAGATCCATTTGGTAAAATATCCCCATTTAATCCAAGGCCCTTCTGCTCTTCCCATACTCTTCTCAGTGATGGAATATTCTTCCCTGGCTTTTTATACAGGAACAAAGGCAGGATTTTTCCTCTTTCTGACGTGCTCCTCAAGTCCTCTTTCAGTATTTGGGGAGCAGGAACAACTCACAAGGGGGTAGAATAATTACACACCTAAGCATCGGTTGTGGGACATGAGTAAATTTCAAAGTTCAGATTAATTTCAATTAACTGGGAATTGCTCAGGCCTGTCTGCAGGCAAAACCACCAAGTCCTGTTGCTTACCAAACTGCAGGTACCTAGCTACCTCCTACACTTCTGCTTTCCGCCTGCTGTGGGCAGCCAGTGGGCAACATGACCCTCCTGTGGTTGTGCGGGACACGCAGGCAAGGTTGTATATCTATATCCACCAAGGTAAAGCCAGGTTGTAAGTTGAATGCTAGACAGGCCCCACCTCTATTTTAATTAATTTGTCTTATTAAATATACATACAAAAAAAGGTGCAATGGAATTTCAGAGTCTTGTTTAGACTTTCTTTGGAGTGACAGGCAAAATAGTCTTCAAACTACTCTTAAGCAGAACACCTCAGATAATACTTGCACAGGAGGAAACATATTTTCTGCTGGAAACGTTCATTTTAGAGCTAGCAAAACTGATGAAATCAATTGGATCCCCCCAAAACTAAATAATACATATAAACATAAGGGAAAGCTAGCTCCATGCACTTTCAGTGAAGAACCAAGTCCTTGATCAACATGTTTCAAGACCTCAGAGCCTTTTCTTCAAAATAGTTTAGTCCAAGGAACCTAGTGGTCCAAAGATTCTAGTCACGATGTGAGAGTTATTATAATGACTTTTAAAAAACCAATTTGCTTAATCATAGGTTAATTCCTATGACGTACAAGTGGAATAGGACTATTCACTACCTGGCTCTGCAATGAGGTGTTTCACTGGACCAAGGGGTTTCCCAAAGCGCAGTGCTAAAACTGGGAAGGTTCTGGGGAAATGACGGCAGGCATTCATCCTGATTTGGAAGTTAGAGACTTGGAATGGTTGGGGGGAAGGAGGCCGACAGCAGACAGTTAAGAAGAATGTGGAAGGGAGGATATTAAGCCAGGGGAGCCAAGCTGTGCACATGACAATTACTAAACACCAAGGCTAATAATGGTAAATAATTACACATAAGTGGCTCTCTCCAAATAACCGAAATTTGTTGCCCCAAGGGCGCTCATTGTTTTGGAGGAATGATTTTCTCAAATTACAATTCTCTGCCTGATTTAAAAGATGATATATATTATTTAATGTTTCCTTGGGTGACTGAAGCTAAGGTGTGCCTTGCTTCCTGGGAGGAATGTGCTTTTTAAGTTTCTTAATTTTCATAAAACCATTACCTGATATGTGTTCACTGTTAGAAGTCTCCTAGCTTCTGACCCACTATTAGAGGAAATTAGATTAATATAATATATTATAGACTATATCATGTATCCTATCATAGATAGCACATCATATATCATCATATTATAACACACATGATGTAGATTATCAGATAGAATTATCAAACAATCTGGTTTGAACAACAGCAGAGTACCAGGCAAGTTAGAAGATCCAGGTGAAACACACACACACACAAAACTGGATCTAATGTAAGGGTTTTGTAGTGACTATCCTTATTTTCAGACATCATCTTTTTTTATTTTAGTTTTGAGATTATATTTTGAGAGTGTGTGGGTGTGTAGAGTTTTATTTCTAGAAAATTCTATTCAACCAAAATTTGTTTAGGAATTAGTATATAGGGCTAGTTACTCAAAGTTTTCTATATGGACTTTGTCCTTAATACATCATGATTTGGAAAGTAATCAGTATGATTACATGTTTATTTTTGTCTTAAAACTAAGAATAGTAATTGAGCTTTAGAAATAAAAAATGTACATATCATAACTGCCAATTTAAGATTCATGAGGCACTGTACAGGGAGATTGTCCACCATATTTAGAAAACATCACTTGCAAGATTATTTTTCAGGGTTCAAATATTTATGCAACACCTTCTGTGAATGATTTTTCACCACATTGTTTGAATATTTTAATTGTGATGTTTTTTGACTTTATTTTAATGGAATTCTTTTTTTATTATTATTGTTGTACTGGGGACACATTGTAACATTTACAAAAGTTCTTACAATATATTATACTTGAATTCACCCCCTCTGTTATTTTCCTTTATCCCTCCTCCCTCCATTCCTGGTATAGTTTCAACAGGTCTCACTGTCCCTTTTACATACATGTGTACACAATATTTTCACCATATTCCCCATCTCTCCACATCCTCCCTCTCCCACTGGTACCAAACTCACAGACAGGACTTGTTCTATCCTTTTTTTGGAAAAAAAAATCATTTTTGTTTGTTTGAGATGTGTATTTCCTTGTTGCCAGTACAAAAAGAAATCTGTAAGAACTTCAGTTAAGTGACAAAGGTGAATGATTAAGATTACAAATATCATTCTGCACAAAATCACCAAAGTGTGACTCTAAAACACGTGTAATAGGATGGTTTAATTGTTGGTGGTTCTGTTTTGGCTCAAAATGGCCCAGGAGGATTTGCAAAATATGTTGCACCAAGAAGTTGAGCTGGATTAGGTAATCAACCTTCTGATATGTTGACTTTGCCATCTTACATGTCTATAAATAAATAAACTGAACTACTTAAAAAAAACTCTCTTTCTCTCTTTCTTTCTCTCTCTTTCTTAACTTATGATGATAACTTTTACCTTTGCTTTGATTTTTACCCTTGAATTCTGGATAAATATTATCTGAAAACACTTGTGATAATGTGTAAGTTTAGTAAGACAAACCTATTTCCTAAGCCTCATAATATTTTAAAATTAGAATATGTAAAAAACTTTAGAATGCAAGAAGAGATACCATTATCCCCTCCAAACATTCCTCCAACCCTTCCTTTTAATCAGTTTGCCATATATCATACTGAAAACCTGCTAAAATCAACTATTTATAAACAGAATATTTTCATAGACAAATGGAGTTATAATTTGAACACATTACCATGCAATTTGTTTTTTTTAACACTTACTGTGGAAATTTATGAGTCCTTTCAAGAAAAAATTAAGTATTTGTGTATTTGGTTTTGTTTTTGATAAGCTGTGATTTAAGACAACAAATAAGTACCCACATAAGCTCCTGCTGGATTGAGATAGTGAGGTAAAAATGTTACTTAATTTCTTGGTTTAAGAAAATCTAAGAAAAGTAAGTGCACAGAACCTCAAAAGCTGGAGACATTTAAAAAGTAGCAAGCCTACCTTTCCTTCCTCCTTCCCTCCCTCCCTCCCTCCCTTTCTCCCTCCCTTCCTTCCTTCCTTCCACACACTTTACATCCATTATGTGCCTGACACTGTGTTTTTGTTGCTGTTATTATTACTTTTTTGTCAGTAACTCTTAATAAAATTACAATAAAACTATCAGATATTAAAGCATAGTTGCTTAGTGTAATGCTCAGTCTAGCATTTAGAAATGTTTGCTCTTGAATTTTAAGTGGATCTTGTAAGGACATCACTGCCATGAACCCCATCCCCTCACATCTTTACTCTAGGGACTGCTCTGCCTCCGGATTGTGCTTTAGCACCTCCCCGGTCCTGACAGAAGGGCCAAAGGGCATCCCTTGAGTAAGTACTGGGGTTCACTCATGTATAACAAAAAATGGAGTCAAGTCTCTCAGTTTATAGTTTTGGTTTTTCAAATTTTTGCTAAGACAGTTGTATATTTAAAGTCCCAGTTGAGTCACTTTATTTGATTCTGCAACAGAGTGTTTTGCTAAATAATATATAGGAGTTTCTTTATATTTAAGAGGGAGAGATTGAGAGAGAGAGAGAGAGAGAGAGAGAGAGAGAAATAGCTGCATGAAGAACCTACTCATAAAAAGATTATTTACCAATAGAGAAATTTCAAAGGCAAGTGTGTACACATCCCTAGCAAAACAGTCTTGGCAAAAACACTGTCAGATGGCAACCATTCATAACCAAAGGAAGGAAAGTTGAATATACATGCCAGAGGTTTTCTTTACCCTTATCATGTGTTTCTCTGATGGCCATAAGATCAATGAAGCACTCCTCCCTGCCTTTTCCAGAATCAGCTAAAACTTCTAGCTAGCATCACTTGGGCACACTCACAGTCAATGAGGCAGCAGAATAAGATGCCCCAGAGTTGCCATAGAAACTGGAAGAAGCACCGCAGCACCTTCTCCTGCATGCTCTTTAATTTCATCTGAGTGACTTTATTCACGAACCAAAAATAAAAAGTGCACAAGGATGTAATTATATAAAAAGCTGCATTCAATTATAAATACAGTATGTACTTTTGCCTCTGTCTATAACTCGTGCCTCCTTCCATTTGAAGACATTTGAACTATTCAGGGAAGAGTCTTCATTTGCTATTTAATTGAAGTGAGGCCCAGATTCACCCAGATAAAGGAGTGCAGCTCTCTTAAGCATCTCCATTGTTCCCTGGCTCACACTAGACAATGCATATGGTGTCTTTGATAACAAGGTCCTTTTCCAGTGTACATTCATATTAGGCTAAGTGGGATTACCAGAGTCTCCTGAAATTGCTCTGCCATCAGGCCTTCACCAGTTTAGAACATTCTGTAGGTTTATGATCATTTTTGTAGAATAATAAAAAGTGGACAGGAGAATGCCAAAAAAGCAATTAGTGGAGAAGGCCAACAAAGTCTTTCTTTTTTTTTAAAATAAGTCCTGTTGCTACTTGCAATAAGCAGCTCATTTCACAATGGAGAATGTTTTAAACCTAAGTACTTCAACAGTGGTCCAATTTCAGAAAATGTTCGGAATTTAGAGTGTCTGCCTCTGTTCTTTACACCTTCTAATTGGGCTGATGGACTAAATTTACTGGAAGAAGAAAAGTCCCTCTTCTTCCTAGTGCAACAAGGCAATCCTGGACCTGTGTGTTGGCAGGATTTGAAACATACTTAGGTTGGGACTTTCTGCTAGTGATTTGCATGAGGTTGTGTGCACTATAGAATTGACTTGAAAAGGAAAATGCAAAGGAACAAGGTGTGTCTGCTGAGCAAGGATACAGTCCATTTGCTATTTGTGACTATGGCACATCTGAGCTCTTAATTTGAAGGATTTTATATGAGGGCTGTAGATTTAGTGCAAGGCAAAATAAGTTCTTTACATGAATAAAATATGAATGGGTTTTTCCCTTTTAGGAGAGTTGGCAATCTGTAGGTAAATTAGGTAGCTGGTTCAGCTAGTGCCATTTGTAAAACCAGACTGACTATGTTGCTTAAATGTTTACTGAAACCAGTCACATACTGAAAAAAAAAAGGGACTTCCTTGACTGTCTGAGATGGAAAATTTATTTTAACAAATACTGAATTTTCAGATCTTTCTGTCTAGAAACAAAACACAAAAGCCACATAAGGAAGTTCTTCCAAGACAGCTTAAAATATCAGTAGTGTCCTCCTGTCTGTCTCCAAGTAAAGATATATTGACTTCAGTTGCTGTTTTGTTTTGCATTATCTTCTATTTTTTGCCTCGCATCAGTCTGCAATGAGAACCCAAATCCTTTGTTAGGTTTTCAAAATCATATAAAAACTGACACTGACCAATGTCAGCACATTTCATACAGGAGATGAAAGAAGGGTTCTCATTGTGTCTTCCATGGAAATGTCAAACTTGCCCTTCAGGTTATATTTCTGTGGGAGTTTCTTTCTCTCTTTACGCTCTCCACTAAGTACCCAGCCAGAGAGACCCTGCTTGCCTCCTAAAGTCATTAAGGTGCTCAGCAAAACACAAGGCACTCTGTTTAGCAAGAACATTGCTGTTAGCCA